AGATTTTTTTTCTATCGGGCGATGTTATTTAAATCGTGTATCGATCTTTAAAAATGGATACATAAACTATTCAACTCCACCATATATTTTTTCTATTTGCCCTACTTCAAGAAATGATGACGAAAAATGGAAAGAAACTGTGTACTTTTTTGGAGTTTGGCGGCCAGATAGGACCAGTCTCGGATAAGCTGCTTTCACGTCTTTATTGCCCATAACCATTGCGAGAAATCAACATGTGACCTCTAGGTGGAAAATTGCACTTCCAACTAATAAGTTAGGCTTTATAAATTTAAATAAGCTCGCTTTGTGTGTGAAATTAGTGTTATGGCAATGGCACAAAATTTATACCTATAAATGATTCACTTAATTCCAGGAAAATTGAATTTCATTCGCAAAATTTAAAATTAAATTCGCCAAATATATAGCCTTTTATTTTAGCTACTTTTACAACACATTTATATTTCTATCTCATTGTTAATTGATATATGTGAGCCTTGGTAAAGGCCTCTTCAAATACCGCACTTTGCCATCCCTGTCTGCACTTTGCCACTCTCTGCCATGTACCTGCTGTTTCTTATTATGGTCTATTCACCTTCTAAATTGTCTTCCTCTTTTGCGTTTATTGTACCTGGGGAATGCCCCAAACTATTGAGTTTAGTACTTTAATATATAATTATTTTAAGTGCCTAAAGATTAACACTTGCGATGAAGGAAAATATCAAAGCCACAAAAATCGACAATAATCTTGTTATTTTTCCTACTGGTTTACCCTGGACGTAGTTTATCGGCCTACATTAATATTAGGCTTAATTTACATAACATTTGGTGACTTTATATGAGAACCATACTAACTTCTATTTGTTGAGAGGTTGAAATCTTATAATCAAAAAAAAATTAATCCATGTTTATTCATATTTTTGTCAATTCAATTAATTTTCTTCAGTAGTACTGTTTATAAAATACATGTGTTATTAGGTAAAAATTCGTTATGTTATAACTGTTTATTTATTGTATTAACTGTCTTATTACAAGCAACCAATAAATAAGAAGTAAGGAATTATTTAAAATCACCGATTGAATTACTGTAATTAAAATTGTATTTATAATACAATTTTAATAAAGAAAAGCATTATTTCTTTTGTAAGCAAATATTTAAAAAGTGTTCTCTGCACTTAAATGTAGAATGATCGTGAAAGCTCAATCTCGCTTAGTATTTGTTCTTTACTTATGTATATTATAGTGCAGTGGCGGTTCAACATTTCTTATGTTCCATTGATCTTTCTTCTCAGACATTGATATTTAGTTCTAAAACTTGCGGGTTTATATGTTTTATTACACTACGCGACTACGCATAACAATGCCCATGGTCTGTAACTCTTAATTGATATTTAATAAGGAACTTTAACATTGACATAAAATAATTATTATTAAGAATGCACCATCTATGCATTAACTAACTTGATACACACTTGTAAATTCCAGACCATTACAAGATCGGTGATATTAAATTTTACGACGATCGAAGACGGCGAAAGGACTGTTTAAAAAAAGCAATAAAATATTCCTATGGAACCTTTCCATGGACCTCTTTCATTCTATCAATTGCAATATAATTTTTTTGTTATAGAATCCGGAAATATTTTAATTATGACAAATACGCAAGTAAAGTCAGGACTTCCTTGTGTGTAAGGTATTTGTTAAAAAATTGTATCCAACTTGCAATATTAAAGTTTGAAAGCTATCAGAAATTTATAATATTCTCTGAAAAGTGTTACAAAAGTTTTTAGTTTTTTTAGGTTTTTGTTTATTTTTGTATTATTTCAGATTAAGATTGGTTATTATATAATTTTTTTTATAAGTTTTGGTTATGCATTATGCACTTCTTGCACTTTACCCATCATATTTTTATTTTGTTTTTTTCCTTACTAGGGTGCCTGAAAGAGATCGCTTGTTAGTGATAAGGCAGCCTGTTGCATCCCTTATATTTATATTTTGTTTTTTTATGTAACGAAGTGTAAATAAAAAGTACGTATGGATATATTTCCAAAGCCGATCTGACACGAAAGTTGGAACTGCATGATAATGAAATACAATATATGATTTGAATTGTAATGTCTTATTGTTCAAAACAGAAAAGATATATCGATATTTCATTCCCAGAAAACCATTCTTAATCTCGTACGAAAATGATGAATAATGCTTTCATTAAGACAAACCTCCTATCAAAGGTTTTGTTAAAACACAATAACCTCTGACACAATGACTGAATATCAGCCTTAACGGTGTAAAAATTTAAACTTACGTGTGGTATAAGTATAAAGCTGTAGAGGAAAATTAGGGAAGACAACATAAATCAACATTGTATCAAACTGTTCTGTTATCAAAAAAATAGTGCGTGCGTACAAAGTACCTACACATGTCAAAAGTGAAACTTCTTTGGCAAACAAATTTTTATGTCTTGTTCATATTTATACAAAAACTTTAGATTTCCGAGACTTAGAAGGCGAGAAAAAGGAATGTTAGGAATTTAATTGTCATTAAAATATTAAAAGTGTCGAAGATTAATACAATTAATAAATTTAATTTATTTCTTCGACAATAAAAACATGTGGAATTTTAATTTACAATTGGTCATTTGAGATTTCAATAAATTACTTTGCATAAAACTAATATTTCATAAATTCTCTTTACGAAATTTTAATTTTAAAAATAGAATTTCTATAAGGTAATTTGCCCATCTCACTCTCTCTCAATCGCTCTCTCCCTTTTCTTTGACTAAAACGCTGCACATCTTCGTGACGTTTCCGTAAAAAATTACCCTCATGCGCCTAAAGAAGTTTCACTTCAAAAACATGTGTGCGATTATCACGTGGTAGAAGTGAAACCTTCAAAAATTTTGGTTTCAAGACGAATGTAATTTTAATTTTTAATTTTGATAAAAACTAAAATAATTAAAGTTTGAACGTCGATAAAACGAAAAAGCATTAGTAAAAGAGACAGACAAATAAATTCATATGATTTAACGCGTGAGAAAATGGGACAGAAAGCATTATACAGTGTATAAACTTTAAATTATCTTTTAATCTTTTAATTAAAATATTTAACTTTTAAATATCAAACTGTCCGTGGTTTATAAAAACATCGGAGATTCATGAGCACCTCAATCTCAGGACTGTTAAAGAGGAGATCATGGCCTGGAGTATGAAATACAGAAAAAGGCTAGAAATGCATCCTAATAAGCTTGCCACGCAACTAACCGTACCGGACCTAATAAATAGGCTTAAAAGGCGAAAAACCCTAAGTCTTGATAGACACGATTGAAAGAGAGGAGCAGTCTCGATGGAGATTTTGCTCTGAACGCCTAACAGCTCTCAACACGTCTGCTCATAGTCTAGCTGACTAATTGCAAGATAAAGACATAAAAAAAATTAACTTTTAATAATCCGAACATATATTATTAATGCAAATAGCGTTCTGCTCCTCGTCTGTAACTTGATACACTCGTGAGAAAAATGTTAACTGTCATGGAAATAATACAACGATTTACGACGCATTTCCCGTCCCCGAAAGCCGATTTTTCTTAAACGAACCAACGTACTTTCCATTAAATTTGTTTCTCAAATGATACAATATAGATTCATAAACGAGATATTGTAAACGAAAGAATAATCTTTTTTTGGGCAGAAGGAATGGGAACGTAATTGTTAATTTTGTTCTCAATATAATATTTTTTTTATGCAATGTTACATAAATCGATGAAGTCGATATAAAATAATATCTATCCAGAAATGCTACAAGCCTATGTGTTTTAGCCGCCAATAGCATGCATTTCTTTCATCTTTTTTTATAGAACAATCGGCGGCAAACAGTCACACAAAACACTCTAAATGCTAGAGGGCTCGCGAGTGCGTTGCAAGCCTTTAAATACAATTTTATAGACAAGTAGGTGATCAGCCTGTCACATGTAGATTTTTGCATTCTAAGACATGCTAGTTTCTTCACAATGACACCATATGAGCAAGTCTTGGGCAAACAGAAATAAAAATTTCTTGGTGACACTACAACCTCAGAGGTCAAAGTCGCTTAAACCAAAAGCTTACCTGATAATATAATGGTCTAGACAATATTGTAACTAACACAATTCTACGTATATGGACTTATGATTGTCGGCATATACTTATATTATATAGAGGAAACGTTTTTGTTTGTAATGTTTTCACACAAAAACTAATAGGCCGATTTCAAAAATTCTTTCACTATTTAGAAAGCTGCTTGTTACTTAAAAAAAAATATACAAAAAAAAAATCTGTCACTGCGTGCGATGTGGAAACTATTGATGATAGAAAAAAATGTTGTACAGTATTATAGAAAGTATCAATATCTACAAAAAGAATTTTACCCATGGGTAATTGTATTATCCTATATTGGCCTATCCCGAGAGACGTGGTCTCTACTCGCTAAGCACAGCTAAAGTTGGGGTCAGTCCGGGTATCTATCCGGTGGTGAGGGGCTAAGGAATAATCTCAACTTGACACTTATAATATGCCCGTGCGCATGTCACACAACTTCTTTTATAATCTATTCCCTACTCCCACTCGACCATCCCACTTCGGGCAGGTGTTCGACGTCAATCCGTAACAATTTGTAAGCAACCGAACGAGTCAAATGAGTAAAGATTCTTAAGAATATGTTTCATAAAAATATATAAAACTATATAAAAAAATATTAATATATTATTACTAAAGGCTATTAAATTTTGTTTAAAAATAGTGATACAATATCAAATTACCCGTAACTAAAAGAGTACCGAGAGTTTTTTACGCCGGCTTTTACTCACGGCCTACACCCTCTGTCTTCTTTGCTGATGAGTAGGGATGTCTACCGATTCAAATTTAATGACGTGGAATAAGTGATACCTTTGTCTTATATTCCATAATAAACATATTTTATTAAACCCAGAAAAATTCGTTAATTCACGTTGCGATTGTTTTTTTTTTCAGATGATATCCGGCACGTCAGTCTTCTTCATATGCGTCTCAGTTCTCTGTTTCTGCCTGAAAACCCATCCCGACCTTCGAGTGACAGAGCCGTACAACATTCTGAATTTCACGTTTAATGATACAGCCGTTGCGACCCTATGGTATGATAAAGAGCAGCCACACGTCGCTTTCTTCTACATAGAACTACTTTGCAACGTGTGGTTCACAATTGAACTTCTTGTTAGATCTGTGGTAAGTTACATTTCTTGTACTAATATAGTAATAATCAATTGTCTACAATCTATATTTATATATAACTTTTCTTATAAATCGTTTTAGTAACTACCTGGACCGTACTGTACCATTGCTCGGAACCCCTTCTCGGGAAAGGCCTCATTCAGCTTTTTTCCAGCCTTATATAAGGCTTTCTTTCTCTATTCCCTTCTATATCTTCTATCCTTCTTTTTCTTCCCCTTAGTTCTTTACAAAGTGATTTTTAAATTCCATCTTTTATCTGTAAGTTACATAAAAACCACTGGTCGTACAAGGAGTGTTTTTGCGTAATTTAAAATTATAAAATCAATTTAGAACGTTGCTCATGAATACCACAGCAACACCACTTATTTTGTTAGTTATTAATAATAATTAGTTCCGTTTAAAAACAAAGGCATATGCAAAGTTTAAAATTGCGACAAATTTCCTATTATAATTAATTGTTCTAGGAACAATTATTAAAAGGTTATTTAAGGTTACAATTAACCTAAAAACAATTAATTTTCTAAAATATATACAAGTATGGCATTTAGAATATCATCTTTGATTTCAAGGTAATCCTATAAAGTACAGAGTTCTCAACGTGTTCGAAGCTTGAAAGAAATCCGAAACCAATTTGTAGTCACAAGTTGAGGTCGAGTGTCAACAGCCGGTACGTGATCAGTAAGACAGATTCGATAAACACGTTATTCACTTAAAATCTTCTGTACTTTATGTAAGAGGAAAATTTTAGGCTTTTTTATTATCCGGCAGATTTTTAAGGAAACACGTTTCAAGCCTTCAAAACCACGACAGAAGACTAATTCAAATCAAATCAAAAATCATTTATTCATGTAGGTAACACAATGTACACTTATGAACGTCAAAAAAAATCGGTTTAAAATTGTCTGTAAAGTCGGTTTACTTAAGAAAATTTTAATTTTATTTGTTTGATAGATATTTTGTATGGATATAGAAGGAGGTAAATGGAAATCACAATTAAATTGATCAAGTAACATTTATTTGTACGCATAAATACAATTACGTCAAATTGTGCCTCTTTTCCGTTCGTTCCGCGCTCTCGCTTGCACTTCTAGCCTTAAATGGAACGCCTCAGAGGTAACGCCGCATGAGTCATGTTTTTCGTGCGTGCTGCCGGTTCCATCGAATTAGAAGACGTTGTCACGTCAAAAAAGAAATATATAATAAATGCTTCTAATTTTTACATCTACTGCCAGTTCTCAAATCAAAGGCATAGAAGGGAAGAGAAGAACTGGCAATAAACTCTCCGCCACTCTTTTTAATCTAATTATATAAAGAAACATTACTACCTCCATATTTCCTTAATATAAATTAGATGCCTCGACGTTTCTTCAAGAAATAAAAATGAGATATTAGATTACCCACTTTAAAATATGGACCGTTAATACGTCCCTAACTTGATTCGAGATTGCGAGCGACATTTAACGGAAAACACGTCTGAGCTCAATTGTTTGCGTTTTCCGGTCAAATATAATTTCCGGGTAACTTTTTCAAAGCAATAAAAATATTGGTTCTTGGGAAAGTATTTTGAGGTTTCGCTTTCCGCTGCTTTGGTCGCGAGCCTTTTGTCGGTTTTGACGGCCCTCAAAAGTTGGAGTGGCTTTTATGCACTTGAGAATCTTAAGGGTGAATAAAAATAGAATTCAGAATTATAAGTTAACATATTTGTTTATATATTTGCTTAATGTTAAATTTGTTTTAGGCCGTTTTTCATAGACAAACTACTTTATCTTTAAATCAAAGTTCTTAACGCATATAAATGCGAGCTAAGTTTATTAGTTTTATATCAAATTTTATAAGATAAATATGCTCCGTCAACCAAACAATACTTTATCATAAGTAGGCGAATGCGAACTTAGACCTGTTTTCAGCTTCAGACAACCTGAAAAGGGAGCCTTATAGTTCGGCGAGTACATAGTTTTGAATATGTCTGAAAAGAACAAAATGTGACACTTTCTTTTGCGAACTAGCGAATTGTGGAATCGACTCCCGGTGGGGTCTTCCCTGAGAGATACGACTTTCAATTGTTCAAAGTAAGACAAAGTATACTACTCCCTCATGGTTCATCACCTCATGGCGTCCCGCCCCGTCCGCTGTTTGACCAAACCTTCAAAGGCCGGCAACGCACCCACTAAAAATGGGTATCCATGGGCTGCGATGTCTGCCCTTTTTGGGCTTCCCGTAGGCTCGTTTGCCCACCGATTCTATAAAAAAGAGAACTTTGATGTATGGATTTCTTCGCAGCCCATGTTTCAAACACTTTTTTTACCTGGAACCATTCCAAATATGGCGAAAGCCAATCTTTGTAAATCACCTCAGGTTGCATAAAGCAATAAAATGGCTATCAGCCAGATTCCTTTCACTATTAATAGTGTCTGATTCCTATAATTTTTAGTATATTTCTATTTATTTAAGTTGTGCTTTTTACTTTAACAAAAAAATCTCCTATAACCTATTTAAGAACACTTCTCTAATTATAACTTCTATTATTATTTTTTTATCCTCTATTTGTAATGTGACTTCTACGTTTCCTTCTTGAATGAATCAATCATTTGGTGTTTCACTGCGAGGTGCGATGGCCAATACTATTTTGAAACTAATCATAAAAACATGTTATTACCCACCTTCATTTGTCTGTGAAGAATTTTATCATACAATTTTGCTATGGAGAATATAGCTTAAGGTTAGCACCTTATTCATCTTTATTGGAAAATGGGCAGTTAAATTCTCATTCTCCTTTGTTAGCGAATCCTTTAAGGTCTTCAGTGAGAGTATGGAAGTCACTTCCCGTCCCGATCCCCTTAGCTCTTAGCGTACTTTCGTACTTAGTAAAGATTTTTAAGTTAAAATTTAAGAAGAAATTAGTAAAGATTATCGTTATTCTTGTGTAGTTTTTCTGTTTCATTTCTTTCTCTGTTTACATATGTTTTAATTGGTTTACTTTTTATATTCATTTTGTCATAGTAATTTAATATCTAAAATTTTTTTCTCACGATGGTTGCCTGGAAGTGATCGCTCTAAAGCGATAAGGCCGTTGTTGCCCTCCTTTTATGTAATTATTTTAATTGCACTGTATTTCTGTATTACTGCAACTAAGTGTAAATTAATAAAAATAATAATTAAGAAATTCTCAACTCAAATATAGTAGCGGCTATCTGTGCTGCTTCTTTTGTTATATGTGCCGAATTCCGTGACTGAATTTATTGAACATCGAAGCAGAAACCAAAATTATGTCCTCGACGACTGGCGTTCCACGATAAAGCGTTCTTTAAGGAAGCCAGTAAAGACGATTCCGAACTTAGGGCGTACCATATTTTCAAATGCCAGCAACACATCTGTGACTCTGGCTGGTGCCCATAGGAGGCACTTTATTCAAAAAAATATGACGAATTATCAAAAAGTAATCATTACTTTTAAAAGCTCGCTTAATACTCAGAAAAAAGTATTTCACGAGTATTATAAACCAAATACTTTATTAACATATTAAACGCTTTCAACTAGCAAGTACATTGAAAATGCTTTAAAAATTTCTTTTCGTTGAATTTTAATATCGGTTGCTATTAACGCGGGCTTGGTATAATTAAAAATTAATTACTTTGATATTTTTCGAGGTGTTAAGGGTTAAGGGTCTGCTTGTGTTTTTACCTGTATTTAGTTTATCATGGAGAGGTTTCTTTAGAAAATATATAAATACTCAGTTATAAACAAGCTAAGACATTCTAAAATACTTTGAAATTTTTATAAAAAAAAAAACTTAAAATCGCGTCTGGCACATAGTTAGCAATGTGAAAAATGTCTGGCAATAAAAAAAGTATGTGAGGTAGACTTATTTAAAAAGGAAAAATTAAAAATTTCGCTTCTTAAAATGCAACGCTTCATCATACTGCAATACTTTTTCATTTTAATTCAAGACTTAACAACCGAATTAATGTCTGGCAAATTCATTTTTAGTTTTTCTTATATTTAAAGAACATAATATTAAAATTACAGACATTCTAAAATACTTTGAAATTTTTATAAAAAAAAAAAACTTAAAATCGCGTCTGGCACATAGTTAGCAATGTGAAAAATGTCTGGCAATAAAAAAAGTATGTCAGGTACATTGATATACAAAAAACCCAAGATGCACAGTCTCGAATAAAAGTAACACTCGAAAGTGTCCCGAAACACTATTTCTGTCTCTTTCTATAAGTTAAAAGCATATATTATGGCAAAATCAACCTTACGCGAATTGTTTAAAGTTGTTATTACAACGCAGTGTACTTAAAGCAATAAAATTTTACGACCGACCGTGGTCGGTAGGACAAGGTATTGAGTGGAGTCGAACATGACTTTTTTATTTACAACTATTTAACATAATTTTAAATTTATCCGACGTTTCGCGTGCTTTACAGCGTGCGTGGTCACGGTGACTGAAGACAAAAGGTGTTGGATTTTAAATAGTTGTAAATTTATAATACATAATACATAACTTTAATCCGGTTAAAAAGTTTTTTCTTTAAATTAAAAAAAAAATGTTAAATGGGCTACCTCCTGACCTACACTTTATAGAGGGTAAATATATTTGTCAAAAACTACACACAAAAAGTTCAAAAGTACATAAATTTATTTATAAAAAAAAACACAAATAAATAACATCGACTCCACTTATTAGAACAGGGTCATTCTTATAATGCGACTAAAATAAAAAGAAGACTGTAATGCGTTGTTCTAACACTGAACAAGCAGCCATTGAAGTTGGCCGTATAGAAGTTTGTGCGTTGAATGAAGTTTTTAGAAAAAATAAATAAAAATCACACATTGCTTGTATAATCAGTCATAAAAACAACAAAAACTAATCAATAAAGTTTTTTAATTACCGAAAATACGATATCCCATCCTTTTTAAGCCTTCTTGACGTTATATTTTTACAATTTCTCACAGAACACTTTGGCATTTTTAACAACTGCTCCCAGACGTGAGCGACGCGAGACTATTTGAAATGAGCGCACAATTTAGAATGTTGCGCTCATTTTTTGAGGACGTTTTTTAGACGTTGAGTGTGCATCTTGGGTTTTTTGTATATCAATGGTCAGGTAGACTTATTTAAAAACGAAAAATTAAAAATTACGCTTCTTAAAATGCTTTTAAAATCCAGGATTATTACCGGACAGATAGGATGCGCACTAATGAACGCAACCGCTACCGCCAGCCAGATTGCCCAGACTCTAACCAAAACTGCAAGAAGGAAGACATATCACAAAATCAGCTGACCTAAAATTCTTTCTTTTCAAACGTTGCTACCTCCCGTACTATACATTAAATACGCCGCGCCAGCTGTCTACTCTCCATCCGTCTTACGAATTTTCGGTCAGGTGACGTGTCCTGACGCGAGTTTAAATTTTTTTACCCATTCCAAAAAAAGTGTTCAACGCCACTAAAGGAGTTTTCACTTCAAAAATTAAACGTTTCGTCGAAAATTTCCACATTAAACGAATATGCAGCAAAACCAACATTTTAAATTAAGTCAATTCACGAGTATTTTCTCTCATAATATTCTTGTACGAATTCGTTAAAACAACTTTGTACACATGCGGCTCAATGATACGACCGACGTGTTTGTTTTCCTGTTTTCGTTTATTTTCGGACGTCCATGCATTGCTAACATACCATTTAAATGAAACCCTTTTTTCCTATATTGAGAATCCTCACTCAGTTGAAGACATCGATTATATAGGGTTGAGTAACTATTGTGTGATCTTTCATTAAAGAAATCAGATTGCTGTAATACAAAAATTACTCATCATATAACGATGATTATATAAATTGATTCTTTATAATTAATTTAAAAAATAATTTTAATTGTACAAGCCACACTAGACGAATCATGAAATTAATTTTGTTTTTTACTTCGTGTTTATATGTGTGTTATTGTGTTGGTACAGTCACTTCACTTCAATTCCCGTATCATCTGACTCAATTCAGTTTTGCTAATGAGCTGCTTATATTACTTATGATTAAATTGTCTTTTGTTATATTACTTAGATTAATTCGTAAAATTACTGTATTTTAACTAATCATATTCAGTCTCGTTGAATCTTCAAATTGCTAGCAATAATTGTCCTAAACATATATCGTTATTGCGTTTTCGTAAAATTCAATAAAATAATTTCCTCAGATTTCTGTATCTGTTTCATGATCATTTATCAATCTAATAAGCAAGTAGGTTATCGGCCTCCTTTGTCACACGCGCCGTCGACATTTTGGGTCTAATGGTGCGCTTACACGGGCAACTAAAATTGCTCAATTCCAGTCAATACTCGTCAATTATGACGTCACGACTACATCAAGCAATTTACGGCAACGGCAACAAGCATCAATACTGAGCAATACAATATTGAGCGATATGGCGCAACTTCATCAACTAGGCAATACTGTCATACACGAGCATTTCAGTTTTCGCTCGCTATGGAAGACATTGTTCTTGCTGCGGCGGCTTGTAGTGCATTTTTTATTATTAATCAAAAACAAAAAAGAAAGAAAAGGAATAGGCGTATCTGGGTGCGATCGTTTTTGGCAAAGAGGACAAAATTTTCATTATGTAAAGAATTAGATGATATATTATTCAAAAACTTTACTAGAATGTCACTAACAGACTTTGAATTACTTTTGAATAAAGTTAGCCCATTTATTAAGAAACAGACGACCAACATGAGAGAACCAATTTCTGCATCAACAAAACTTGCTTTAACCCTTCGATTTCTGGCAACTGGAGATTCATACAAATGTATATGTTTAGAATTTCTGATAGTTGTATTGCACTATTTGTACCTACTGTATGCAGAGCTATTGCAGAAGTTCTTCGAGAATATATAAAGGTAAGTACTTTAATTTAAAAGTGAGGATATTTAATTTAAAAATAATTGTATTAATCAACCTTTTTATTTATTTAAATTCACAATTAAGTAGATTTTTAATTCAAATAAATCAATCAGTAGTAATGTACTCCACGGCAGTAGTATTTCAAAATGCAGTCAAAACAAAAAAAACAAAAATATAATGTTACGAGGAAACAGTTCAGTTTCATTTCCAATGTTTACGCTGAATGCTAGTTAATTAGCGCACTGAAATTATTACGGACATTTCCTCGGCTTTGCAAAATTCCAAATGAATCAATTAAAAAATACGACATAAAATAATCAAGCTGTTGGCTATGTTTGACTAGACGGTAAAAAAAAAGGAACACCGTTGTGTGAACCAAAACAGAATGAAGTTGTAATTTATAAATAATTATAAAATATATTATTTAATTATTTATAAATTACAACTTAACTTAAATTTTATTTTAATTTATTATTTTTAATTTATTTATAACACAACAAACAGAGGCTGACTACGCGCTGGACTCTTGCCGCGCGCTATCCTACTTCCACCCGACCTCTCGCTCTCCCCCCGCAAGCAAGACGGCAAGCCGCAAAACAAACAAGTGCGAATGAGATATATACAAAAATTGCTAGGAATTTCCAAGTCCATTGGCAATTCGTCAATTCGTATCTGCGACATTGAGCGATATGAAATATCTGGAGCAATTAGAAGCAATATCGCCGAAATAATTTTTGAAATTTATTGAATTTCTTGAAATTGCTCCATTAATTGCTCCAGATCGGTCCATTCGTGTTGCCGAGCAATTATTGCCCTCGTGTAAGCGCACCTTTAGGCAAGTCGGTTTCCTTGCGATGTTTTCCTTCACCGTTCGAGCGAATGTTAAATGTGCAGGGATGAGAATCGCACGCTGAAGCCACTAGGCCAACACAACACTGCTCTTTCGTAAAATTCACGTCGATATAAACGGTAATATGAATATCAATATATTAAAAGTCGTATTTTAAATTGCAAATCCGCATAGATTAAATAATTTCTCGCCTTGACACATTTCAACTATTCATTTCAGAGCTTTTTAATTTGCATGTTACAATTAGAGGCATATTCAGCCGAGTTTCTAAAGCCACAATACTGAAATATGAATAATTTATAGTACTCGACAATTATTAGAAGTTATATAATCCTCTATATATTCAAAAGCTGACACTCTCCTTTTATTATCCGCCATGATATTATATTTTTTATAATCTAATATAAAATACAACTTTTTGAAACTGGCGAAATAAATATTATTTTCTTGCAAAGTTTTAGTTTGTTAATAATCTTTATAAAAATATATGGTTAGCTCTATGGTACACTTTGATATTTTTTATAACACAGGGGCAAACGGGCAGGAGGCTCATTTGATGTTAAGCGATACCGCCGCCCATGGATACTCTTAATGCTGACTCGCGTGGGATACCGGGCTTTTAAGAATTGGTAAGCTCTTTTCATGAAGG